TTATAAGTGTATTACCATTTTATATGACGTTATATATAATGAATCAAATTTCTTTATGCCGTGGTCAGATTTTTAGTGTTCAGGTAATGAAAGAAAAGCAAACGTCTTAGGTTTATGCTATACTCTATTAAAAATATAAATCAGCTTTGAATTTAAAACTGCATTTTATCCCAAAAGCAACACTCTCCAACCAGAAAAAAAAAGCTTGTAAAAATTCTATTACTTCTTAAAAATCATCACCAAATCTGTTATTGGTTGTGAGTAGTTGGAACATACCAGTTCAAAGCCCACAATATTAAGAAGTAAAACTAATACAAATAGAAACAGACAGGGATGTATTCCAAAATGAATATTCTACTATTACCTTTATGAAAGCTACTGCATAAAGACCTTTATTCTTCAGATAATTACTATCAGAAATATTGACTGTGATAAAATGGTTCACTTAGACATACTACATGTAGACTTAGTAGCACAATTTTCACTAATTTGTCAATCCATGTTTTTATTTGTTAAACTGTATAGCTTATAAAAGGTCGGGCGCGGTGGCTCACACCTGTAATCCCAGCACTTTGGGAGGCCAAGGCGGGCAGATCACTAGGTCAGGAAATCGAGACCATCCTGGCTAACATGGTGAAAACCCGTCTCTACTTAAAAAAAAAAAAAAAAGTATAAAATTAGCCGGGCGTGGTGGCAGGCACCTGTAGTCTCAGATACTTGGGAGGCTGAGACAGGAGAATGGCATGAACCTGGGAAGCAGAGCTTGTAGTGAGCTAAGATCACACCACTGCACTCCAGCCTGGGCGACAGAGCGAGACTCCATCTCAAAAAACAACAACAACAAAACAAAAACAAACAAACAAAAAAACTGTATAGCTTATTAATGAAATAAGCCAGAAATACTATAAAGAATAAAGATAGAACTTATATCCTGCTGATGTCTGAATGACCACATTTTAAAAAAATCTGATACTTTGATCTTCTAGATCAGGGTTTGGCAAACTCTTTGTTTAAAAGGCCAAATAGTCGTTTCTGTAGACCAGTTGATATCCTTTGTAACTACTGAATTCTGCTGTTGTAGCACAAAAACAGACACAGGCAATATGTAAATGAATGAGAGTGCTTGTGTTTAAATAAAACTTTATTTACAAACACTGATAGCATGCCAAATTAGGCATGTGGGTAATGGCTAGATAAACTCTTCATTTTCTGGAAATAGAGAAATATAAATTTATACCTACACACATATGCATAGTTCATGAAGTCAATTATAAGGTATTGCTACAATGGTTCAAGTATTTACTTTTATGTAGGAAAAATAGATATGAAAGGATAAGCTGAAGTTCATATTTCTTATACTGATTACTGCAAATACTGTGGTTTCATCTTTGATATTTTTTTAATCTATTGCATCCATTGATTCATTATTGTCATTTTTATTTGCATCAGAAAAGACAAAATATTAATTCAAAACAACTTTCTGTCAGTAATCATGCTTTTAAATAGCTAGAGAATTATCTATGACTTGAGATGCTTCAAAATAACTATAGTGCATATATTAGAATACTGATACCTTTTGAAAATCCTTGATATTAACCAGGTTGAATGAAAATATGTGATCCTTTGCTCCAACATACAGCCTACTCCGTTCCTCATCCAAAAGGAAGGTATGATAACTGGAGCTGTTGGCCAAGCCATTGAAAGTGATCACATTGTTGGATTCCAACATTTCTGCAAGGTAACAAAGCAAAACATTGGGTATTAATGTGAAGCACTATACAAGCATAGACTGTCGGTACATGGTAACCTGACTATATTGACTGTTGTAGCTATCAATCTGTGCTTATTCTTCAGGGTACTAAGAAATATATTGGAACCAGAACCAAAATGTGTGCATTTTACTTTTTTTTTTTTTTTTTGAGATGGAGTTTTGCTCTTGTTGCCCAGGTTGGAGTGCAATGGCGCGATCTCAGTTCACCACAACCTCCGCCTCCTGAGTTCAAGCGATTCTCCCACCTCAGCTTCCCAAGTAGCTGGGATTACAGGCATGCACCACCACACCTGGCTAATTTTTGTGTTTTTAGTAGAGACGGGGTTTCTCGATGTTGGTCAGGCTGGCTTCGAACTCCTGACCTCAGGTGATCTGCCCACCTCGGCCTCCCAAAGTTCTGGGATTACAGGCGTGAGCCACTGTGCCCGGCCTGCATTTTATTAAAACGGGAGTTATTTTCCTATTTGCTGGTTTCATACTTAACATGGTATAGTACTAAAGACGAGAGGAAGAGAAATACCTGTACTTTAGTGACAGGAACACTTTCAGATTAAAAATAACATTAAATTTAAGTCCACTTTTGTGTTAAGAAGGTAATTGTTGGCTTCTTAAAGATACGTTTTGCCCCCCCCCCACACACACACACACCACTCCCATGGGATAGAATTTTTGAGGATTCTCCAAAACTGTATCTCCAAAACTCTATGTCCTGAATCAGTGCTTTAGATTTTTCGGGTGCACACTTAGTAGGAAACTTTCAGCAGCACACACAAAATGTAGAATGCGATGTGCCTTCCAAAGACAGAAAGCTGCAATGTAGACCTGTTCTAACACCTGTTCCAGCTGTTAACATCAGGAAACATATATTAGTCATGTGACCGATTGCCTTGTTTTATCTATTTGTCCTACTGACCTCTTCATTTTATCATTTTATCATCAAAAATATGATTTCAACAGAGGATAAAATTCTTACTCTTTAACTTAACACTAAAGATCAGGTCACTATCATTTCAGTTTAGACCCTATCCCAGTACTTCTCATGTCCTCTATCATGCGGAAAGTCATGCACTGTGCTCATTCACTCCTTGGCCTTTGTTACTATTTTTCCTGACTCCGACAGCTACAGAATAGATCCACGCTTAAAGCTAGTTCAAATGCAACTGCCAAGAAATTCTCAGAGAGCTTCCTGTTACATTTTGCTTGAATTACTCTTATAACCTGCATCCCACTGTCAATTATTGCAATCTTATCTACCAGAATGAACATTCCCTCAGGAAACAGATAATTAATAGCTCATCATGCCTAACTCACATGTTTTTTTCATATTACTAGGTCAACAGCGTAAAATGGAATATCTTTCTTTTTGTATATTTACCTATCCTATAGGCAAAAATTGTTAACGAATTGTTAAAAGATACTTTTCTCATTTCTTCATGAGAAATAGTATAATACTAGACTGGCCTTACTCCCTACCACACCCCACTCCCCACACACACACACAAAAGAAGCAGGAGAGGAAGGAAGGGACGGAGGGAGGGAGGGAGGG